ATTCGTTGAGCCAATATATTACTAAATAAGAAAAATCAAACCTTTGTTAAATTTAGAAAATTCTTATTTTCTATTTAAGTTAATATATAAAATTATAAGCAAATATATTCAAATAATATGGGTTAAAAATAATTATCTTGTTTAAAGAAATTTATAATTTAAAGCAAGATTTTTAATTAAACAAAATTTAACGACATAATTAACCCCCTAATATTAATAAATAATTCTTACAAAATATTTTTTAAGTAAAAAGTATTAAAATATTTAAATATTTAATTTTAATTATAAATTATTTTTAATGATATTAACAAAATCAAATTAATTAATACAAATGCTTTAATTTTAATTTATTTTTATTTAATGATTTAAAAAATAAAAATTATTTAATTAATCCTAATGAATATAACAGATAAAATATATTATATGAAATTTTGAGTCAGTCCAAAAAAAAAATATTAAAAAATTTATTAATTTAAAGCATATTTCTCAATATCGAGAAATTTATGATATTAAACTAAAAATATATATTTCTTTTTATAAAAATAACTATTTGTGAAAATTTAAAAATATAAAACAATATTTTAGCGGAATATATATAGATTATACTTTCTAGGATAACTAATTTCTAAAACATAGGCACTAAATACAAGCTTGTGTAAAATATATAAATTTATTAAAATGCTAATATTTATATTCTTTATTATATATTAATATAAAATAATATATTTTGTTTAAGATAATAATCATAAATTAATAAGAATAAATATTGTTTTATTATATTTATTCATCTGTACTTTTTTTACAAAAAAAAGAAGAGAAAAATGTATAATAAGTATTTTTAAAAAAATAATACAACTAAATTAAAATAGTTCGATATTTAAAAAAGATATATTAATTTATCTATATCCATAAACTAAATATATTTGCTAAAATTAAATACTAAATATATAATTTTATAATTCCTTTATATATATAAAAAATTAATCATAAAAAAAAATATAAACTAAATAAAAAAATAAATGATCACTTTAGAAAACATATTAAATATATACTAAAACATAATATAAGATTAAAACATATTAGCTAACGGTTAATAGTATTTAAATTCATATATAGAGTCTGACCCATAATTTATAGTCAACTCAATAAAACTACTAAAATATCCTAATCTTGATAACAAAACAAAAAAATATATAACATCATTATTAAAAAATATATTATATTATCATTATGATTAAAATCCGTAAATAATAGACCAAGCAGCTCAAATACGGTAAGAGTTAATACTTTCAACCGAAAATTAAGTATAAAACTCTGATGTTTTACAAAGCTTAGTAATAAACAACTATAAGAATAAATTTATTACAAAAAACAAAAAAAAGGGAGATTTAATAAGCTTTATAATGATAAGAGATGGCATGAATTAATGGAAAGATCCAATAAAAAATTTAATAATAAGAAATTTAAGTGAAAATACATTAGAATTTTTTTGCTAAATATATAGTAAAATGGACTACCGTATAAATTTGACAGCTTCCTGTTTATTTGATAAATTATTATAAGTTTTATAATAAACAAAAGACAGTATATCATTACAAAAAGGACTTATTTTATATTATTTATGTTTGAAATCATTTTCTTTTGCCGAAGGAGCAGATGATGATTTACTAAAGGAATGTTTAGATGAAACATATGTTCATTTCATGCAATATTTTTTTAGTTTATTAGTAAAAATTGAAATATAAAATTAATTTTTGGTTTTGAAAATTTTAAATTTATTCATGAAAGACTTTCCAATATATTCTTAAAATATAATAAGATAAAACTTAAAATTATTGTTTTAGCAATTCGAAGTTTTTTAGGAGAAAGCCTTGGCTTAATAAAAAGATGAAGATGAAAATGATCAATAATACGAAGAAAATTTATAAAAATACCTCGATTAAGAAATTGAAATAGAATATACTAACTAAATTCAATTATTAATAAATGAGAGTGTAAATACTCTTGAAATTTTAATGGAAGAAGAAGACGAAGAAATCTAAAAAACAATTTTAAATTATTTAATTTCATTCTGTTTTTTATAAAAGCATAAAGAGTAATTATTCTATAATGATCCTTTATAATATTATTAGGAAGAATTTCCAGAAAAAGATGAAGAAATAAATACTATAAGACATAAAATAGTCTAAATAATCTAAAAAATGATTGAAAATAATTAAGAAATTTCATAAAATCTTTTATTTATTATAGAAGATCTTTTTTTATTCAAAAATAATTTCTTACCATAAATGAATAATATTTTTTTGAAAAAGGAACTCTCGCTTTTTTTGATTTAAAATTCCCCTTAATTCTTATAAAATGATTGCCTTTTTAAAAATCTTTTATTTGATTTTTCTTCAAATTTCTTATAGTTAAATTAAATTATTCTTTCTAGATTTTTGCGATGTTTTAGTCTTTATTTAAATCCTACTTAACCTTATTTAAATTCTCTTATAGAATTTTTACTTCAAATTTTTTTAGATAACAGATTTATAATTGCTACTAAGCTCTCTGCTATTGTTTGTTTTGGATAAATTGCATAAAAAAAAGAACTTTAAGGAAATTAGATAGGTCAAAATGCTAAATATATAGCTTAACTTCTACTTTAATGTTTTTCTTTAAATAAAAGTTCTATTTTTGTTGAAAACATAGCTTTTATATGTCAAAAGTACTAAGATATTTCTATATAAATAACACTTGAGGGAAGTGAATTTTTATTTTAGATTTTTTCATAATAATAAAATTTGCCAGATTTTCAAAAATAAATGTGTTTTTTAGTAGAGATATTAATATAAAATGAACAAGGATTTAATTTATTATTATAAAAATTTGAAAGTTATATAAATAATATAATCCTTATTACAAATTAAATACTAAATAATAGTTTTACTAAGAAAATAAAAGAATAAGATTTAGGTTAGATATGTGTATTTATAATTAATTATTTTTATAAATATACAATTTATATTTTTGTATAAATAGAATGCAGTTGAGTTAATAAGAATATTTATTAAAAATAAAAAATAAAAAGACAATTTATTATTCCAAAATATAATTTAAATCCTTTTAAAAATAATGTTCTTTAATGATGATATTATTCTTTAATAATAAACCACTTTATGTTTGAAACAAATTACTTAAAATTAACCTAATTCCTTAATTTGTTATAAATAAGAAATTATATAATTGGTTAATAGATTAATTGATATTATTCATCAAACATAAGAAGCTTTTTCTATATATTTACCTAATTTAATTTTAATGTTAATATCATAAAATGTAAAATTATATAACTTAACATTTATATATATATATTTAATAAAAATAATAATGAAAGTTATTAGATAAAGAAAATGAAATAATAAATATAATAACTGAAAAATTAAATTGTTGTAATTGCTTGGAAGTTAATATAGGATTTGTTCTTGTCCTTACTTATTATTTAAATAAATATAATTTTTAGAATTCAGAAAAAATTGTCTAAACAATTTGTTTAAATTAAAATTATTTATATATAAATTAAAAAGAAATAAAAAATTTTATATTTTAACTTTTAATAAAAATCATTGAAAAAAATAATTTATAATTTGACTCTTTTAGTTTATTAGCAAAAGCTCTTGATTTAGAATTAGTTTATGAAAAGTTAGATGGTTAATTGATGTAGGAATATTATCTTTTCTTAATGGAAGATTTCTAGTTTCTATAAATTTAATTTAATTTAGAATAAGAACCTAAAGTTTATTTTTTTTATTTATATTTATTTATTTTTTTAAAGGAATTATTAATATAATTCTTTAAATATTTTTATTAATAAAATCATGATTAATTTTATGCCCTTTATAAAAAGTTAGATTTCGATGAAACTTTTGGAATTGAGTAAATTATAAAAACTGTAAATTAATAGTGAAAAAAATATTCATAAGAAATTCTTTTTAAAAATATATATTTTTTTAAAATAAATATTATTATTTTTTAAAAATTTATTTGAATCATTTTTTCTAATAAAAATTATACATAAATAATATAATTAAAACCCATAAAATTAATAATTATATTTATTTAATTATTAAAGAAATATTAATATAAATTATATATGAATTTTTATTACTTTTATTAAAAATGTACTATTAAAATTAAATAAAATGCAATTTAAATATAAAATATTCAACCTTTTCATACAAAGATAAAGTTGAATTTTAAAATTGCAAAAATAAAATACTTTGAATATCGTCTTATACAAAATAATTTGTATGGAGATATAAACGCATTGTTACATATTATGTTTACCAAAATTAATTTTTTAAATATAATATAAAATAAATATTTAATTAAATATAATAAAAGTATGAATAAAAATAAATTTTTATGATTTATAAACTAATTATCTATTTTATTTTAATAATATAATAATAAAAACAAAAAATATCTAAATTAAATATTTTTTATATAGATTTATTATGATTATAATATTATATAATAATAAATTAAAAAATCATTTTAAAATATAAATTCAAACAGTTAATCTAAATAATTATTTTTGTTTATAATTACTATTAAATTTATTTGTATATTAAAAATTAGTTATTTCTATTATAAATAAATTTATAAAATTACTTAAAAGAATTAGATTTAATTAACATTTATTAAATATTTATATTAAATACTTTAAAATTATACATTAAATAAATAAAATAAACATTTGAATAAAATTTAAAAAATAAAACAATAATTTAATACAAAAAATTATTTTGAAAAATAAAATAATAAATAATTAAAAAAAATAATAACTAATTTTTGAATTGGAAAATAAATAAAAATAATAAAATTTATAAAAAATAAACAATTTTTATATATAATAAGCATAAAGTAATTATTTTTCTTAATTATTTTAAAAATAAAATAAATAATTTTTATCTTAAAAAAAAAAAAAATATATATTATACAATATTTTTATAAATAAAATGTCTAACAAACCAACTAATAAATTAATAGATATTATTCATGAAGGTCTTGATGGTAAAATTTCATTAATTGGTTATCCTTATGATATTGGGGCAAAGAGAGAAAAAATTCAATAAGGATAAGAAGATGGGCCTGGTTTTTTTTTTTTTGAAAATAAATAAATAAAAGAATATAAAATATATTCTAAATTATATTTTTAAAATTAACATCATGTTTTTATTTTAATTATTATAGATTGCCTAAGAAGGTTTTTAAATAAAGTAGGATCAATAGTAAATTATGAGTATTAAATTGATATATCAAATCTTAAAATTAGCGATTATGGAAATATATATATATAAGGTAATAAAGATTAGACATCAGAAGATTTAATAAATAAATTGCAGTTAAAAATTTCAAGTGTATTTAAGAAAGGAAACATTCCCTTTTTAATCGGTGGATCTAAAGAATGTTCATTTGGAATAATTAATTAATTTTATGGCTTGTAAAATGAAATAAAATTATAAATATATAAATAAAATAATATACTAATATAAATATATAAATATAATGTAAGTTGGTTTATATTAAATATTATAATAATATAATATATAAGAGTGATTTAAATTTTTATATTTAAAAATAGACGTTTAAATATAAATAAATTATATTTAAAATTCTTATTTTTTTTTATTAATATATATTTTAAATAGATTTTTATTTTGTTATTTATAAACTAATTTAATATTCTTTTTTCTTTATTTACATATCTCGATTTATATTTTCAAACGAATTAAATTAAATATAAAAAGGTAAGGAAGTCACGCTATAATAAGTATTTCTTAAAATATTGATGTAGATTTACTTTTCGATGGAGATAAGCTTAGTATAAATAGCGGTATGAGAAAGTTTTTTATAGAAAACTAATAAAAGCTCGATAGTAATAATTTTAAAGTGCAATACTTTGGTGCTTAAAGCTAAACATTAAATATAACGCAATTGAAATTCATTTAAGAAAATTAAAGCTTAATATAACTACATTATCTTAATTTAATAAGATAATATTAAATTAATCCTTCTTAAAATCTCAGATAACCATCAACTTAAGCTTGTCAGTATTTCTTGTTTTTATTGAAAAACCATATAACACAAAGCAATATTCATTTATCATTATCATTAGAGGCTATTAACGTTTTAATATAAATATAAATCTTTATATATTATTTAAAAAAGAGTGCTTGTTGTCCAGGAGTTTCAAGGCCAAGTGTTATTGGAGGTTTAACAAGTGAAGAAATTATTGAAATTATGTTTTAAGCAGGAATCGATGAAAGAATCAAAAGTATAGATATTACAGATTATAATCCAAATATAGAAGATTATAGAACTGGTTTGCTTTTAGCAAATTTAATATATTATTATTGTTTAGGGTATTGTGAAAGATTAAAAAAAGAATGATATATTGATTTAATATTATAAATAAACAAAATATTCTATTAATTAAATAAAATAAAAAAAAAATTTTAAATAAAAAATAATTAAAAATAATATAATTAACATTCTTTTAATTAAAAGAATATATTAAAATTAAATAAAATATTTAATAATGATTTCTTAAATATAATATAATATAATATAATATAATATATATATTAATATATATATTTTTTTATAAATATTTTTAAGAATTTCTTTTTAACAATCATTTTAAAAATTTATCATCTTTTAATTATATATTTATATAATTTTTTTTTTATTATTTTTATCTTTATTATAAAATAAAATATTATTTTATTATTTTTATTCTCCTTTATTTTTAAATTTTTTTTATACAAAAAATATAATTTTATTTTCAAAAGTTCATTAACAAATATTTATTACTTATTTTAATAGATTATTTAAAATTTTATCTGTTTAATTATTGAATTTAAGGTTTTTTAATTTTTATTTTAATTTTTTTTAAATATTTTAAAAATATTTTTTAGATATTTTTATATAAAATTTTTTATATATTTTATATATAATTAATTATTTTTCATAATATTTTTATTTTTTCATAAAAAATTATTAATGAGTATAAATAATAATTTTATTCCAAATTATATAAATTAGCAATAATTTGGAAATGTTAGTATTCCATAGCAATTATTATAACCTAACATATAGTCTTAACCATTAATTAATTAAATGGGGTAAGTAAATTCTTAGATGATGTAAAAATAAGGTAAATAAAATAGAAAACTATTAATAAAAAAAAATTAATTTATAAAATTAAAGCTATTGAGATAAATGATTCTTTGAAAAAGAAATTTAGTTTAAAAAATAAAATAGAAGAGTTAATACAAGTACCTCCAGAAATGCAAATATTTGTCTTTGGTATTGATATTCCTAATATAGGAATAAGCAATTTAAGTTAAGATTAATAGTAATAGAAAAAATAAAAAATTAAGGAAAAAAAATTTAATTTATTATACTAAAAATAGAATTCATCCTACTTTCGGTTCTCCTTTTGCTGAGAATCCTACTATAAAAGTAGATTCAATGAATTATGAAATTCCCACATGCTATACAAAACCAGCTTAATCATCAAACGAACAGTTATTTAAGAAATTTCCTGATGAAACGTTACTTTATATATTTTATAATGTGCCGGAAGAATATTAATAATTATAAGCTGTTTCTGAATTGTTTTTTTTTAAATAAAAATTATATTTTATTTTAATTTTTTTTTAGATATAGTAGAAATTGGTAGTATAATTTTGTTTTATAAACTTGGATGAAAATGGAAAATCAAGAAAATAAATAAAATAAAATTATTTATTTTGATATTAAAGAATGGTAAGTTTAATAAGTTGATTAGTCTTAAGTTAGTATTAATTTTAATTAAGATTTTTATTCTTTATAGTAGTTTGTAGATTCAGCTTCTTGTTAGATTTTAAAGTGAAATATTTTTTTAAAATAATAGGAAGTTTTTAGGTGGATTTAAATATTTATGATGTATATTAACATGATTTTTTTTATTTGAGTAAAGCATATAGCTTATTATTTTTTATTAATTTTTTACATATTATTATTTTAAATTATATACGTCTTTAAATTTTGATTTTTAAAAATAAATAAATTCAAATAATTATTTTGATTAAAAAAATAATTTAATTTGTTTTTTTTTCAAGATTTTTAATTAATATCTAAATAATTATATATATGTTTCATTAAATAATAAACAAAAAATTGCATTTCATTTATATTTTAATTTTTTTTAAAAAAAAAAATAAATAAAAATAAACAAAGAATTATTTATTTAAAAAAAATATATATAAAAAATAAATGTCATACAGAGAATTACGTAATTTTTGTGAAATAATGAGAGGTCTTGGATATTCGCGTCTGATTTCCATGGAGAATTTCCGTAAGCCAAATTTCGAATTAATAGCAGACATATTATATTGGTTAGCTACAAGATTTGATCCTTAAGCTGATATTCCCGAAGATATTTAAGAAGAAAGATAAAGAGTTGAATTTATAAAGTAAATTGCGATGCTTTTTGCGACAAAAACTCGCATTAAATTAAATACTAGAAAGCTTTATTAAGCCGATGGTTATGCTGTTTAAGAAATACTTAAAGTTGCTTCTGTTTTATATAAAGCATACAATTCTTCACCTGCTGAAGATGAAGAAGTATAAGCATTTACATTACCAAGTATGTTTTATTTTTTGAATAAAAATATATAAATTTCAACTTTTTTAAAAAAAAATTAAATTAAATTAAAGGTAAACTTTCTAATGTTAAATTACATAAATAAGTTGCTAATGATATTACTGATACTGCTTAGAAATTATTTGATTTATTAAATAAAGAAGAAACTCTTAGATCACATAGAGATAAAGCACTTGGATTTTTGGATTCTATTTCTAGAAATTTAGAATCTAATAATGAATAGGCTCATATAGAAAAATGTGTAAGATAACTTATTGAATAATAAGATTCAGGAATTGTTGATATGTAAAATTATGTAAATAATTTGTAAAAAGAGTAAAAAACATTAGAAGAAAAAATAAAAAAAGTAACTTTTGAATTAGATAAATCTTCGAAATAATTATAAATTTTATAAAGAATGAAACCTGCTTATATGGAAGAATATACTGTAAAATAAATAAATAAATACATTATAATAATTTTTTTAAAATAAAATAGAGATTAGAAGTTGAATTAGAAAAACTTTATTAAATATATATTGAGAAGTTTAGAAATTTAGATTATTTGGAACATCAATTGGATGTATATAATTAAATAGAATTAAAGAACTTTAAACACAGCTAAGAAAAGAGAAAAAAAATAAGAGAAAAGTTAATTGAAGAAGAAAAAAAAAGAATGAAAGGAGACGAGGAATTTGCTGAAGGTTCTTTAGATAATAAAGGAGATAAAAATAGTTCAAGAGAAGTTTCACCTAATCCTTAATCTAAGTAAATCAATTAAATGAAATTTAAAGGAACTATCTAGCATACTGTTAAAGAAGAGGAAAATTCTCATGAAGGCGAAGAAGATGATGAAGATGTCGATTTGGAAGATTCTAATGAATAAATGTAAGAAGATGAAGGATCTGATGATGAAGATTTTTGATTCAAATAATTATTTTATATAAAAATTGAATTTTATTAATAGGCTTATATTTTTTGTTTTATTTTTTTATTAATGCATCATTATCATAATGATTCAATGTTGGATTTAAAACATATAAAAATATATTTTTTTATAATTTAAATTTTAAAAATTAATCGATTACGCATTAATATTATTTTTTATATATAAAGTTTAAAATCCTTTTATTCTAAGAGTTTTATTGTTAATCTATTTATAGGTAAGAATTGTTTGTGGAGTATTTTAATTATATTTTGTTATTAATTTATTTCAATATCATATGGTAATACTTTTTATTTAATTAAAAATATTAATTTATTAAAAAAACTAAAATATAATATATTTTCCTGTCAAAAAAGAGAATGTTATGATATTATAATAATATTTATAAAATGAAAGTTGATTGTTTTAAATAATATTTTTAAATTAATCAAAAATATAAATTAATACCATTATTAAATATTATATAGTTCACTTATTTATGTATATTTTGTGATTTTCTTCATGTTATCAAATAAATTAAAAATATGAAAAATTAAAGAACTCATAGTATTTTCATTTGAAGCAATTATTATTTTTAAATTAGAAACTGCTATAAATCAAAGTTAAACCAAAAAAATAGTCACTGTTGCCCAAAAAAACTATTAATTCCCGTATTTTTCTGTAACATAACTGCTTTCAATAGAAAAAACGGATATCAATACTATTAATTCCCTTAAATAGTTGCAGATGTAAACTAAATCCAAAAAAATTTTGGGTAGATATGTATGTCTATTTTATTTTTTTATATTCTTTTTTATTTATTTATTTGTTTTTATTTTACATTTTTTCCCTTTTTTTTATTGAATAATTAAGTTTTTTTAAAAAAATAAAATGTTTATTAAAAAATTTTACTTTTAATTATTTCTTATTAATAATAATTTTTTATTTGATTATTTTCCATAACTGTACTGTATCTTTGTATACTAAATCCTAAATTATTAAAATAAAAATAGCAATATAAGTAAATAATATATTAATAATAAATGAATATTATAATGTTTGTCAACTAAATTAATTAATACATATATTTTTAATTATATATTTAAATACATACATTATTAAAATTTATGTAGACTAATATTATATTCTAAAAAAAATACAGTAAACTAATTAAGAATTTGTTGTTATAAAATTTACTTCTATAATAAAATAAAAGTCTTTCTATATTCTAGCACCTTATTGTCCTTCCATTATTTAAATCCTATTTCTAAATATTTTGCAGTTATCATATTTACATTATTTGCACCATCATTAATAGCAAGTGTAGTAGTTTTTCTATTCTTAAAAAAATAATTATTTTTGAAAAGAAGAAAAAAAAAACAATTTACAGTTTCTCTAAATAATAACTAATCCTCCTTATTTTTATTTAGGAAATACTTTCAAAACGCATTTAAAAAATATAAAAATTTCGGATAACTATAAAAAATTAAAATAAATAGCAAAAATACTAAAGCTTTAATATGAAGAAAATTATTATGAATTAGTGAAAAATCCTGTATAATTATATTTATTTTAATAGAATATTTTTTTCGGAATTTTTATTTTCATTCAAAAACTTACTTTATGCCTATTATTAAAATTGGTATAAATATTCTCAGAATCTGCAGTCCATTATATCTAAATTATCATATAATAATTTATATATATAAGCTATTATATTTTTCTCTATTTATCTTCTTTAAGTAGCCAAATCTGTATTTCGTTATTTTTTAAAACCAGGATTATTTTTTTACAGTCTGTCTTCTTTTTAGTATATTGTAATTTTTCTTGTGTTATTGTTTTAGCAAACTTGCTATATGTTCTTTTAGCCATATATTATAAAATTATTGACCTATTTTTCTTTCAGCTAAGATTATGGTTCTAAGGATTAAGCAACGAATAAATATAATTTATTGTTTTAGTTAAATAAAATAAAATTATCTATTTCTTGAATAATTTCTTTTTATTATTATTTCCAAATTAGCACATTAAAAAATAAAAATATAGCTTTTAATTTATGCTTATATGTATTTATAATAAATATTGCCTATATGTTTATAAAATATTTTAATTTTCTATATAAATCTCTAACTAAAACTGATTATCTTTTATATTTGAATTAAATTCAAAAACATAAAGAACTCTTATAATTAATTATTTATTTTGTATTATAAAGCAACAAGCATAACTAAAATGTACTAAAATAAATATTTATTAAAAACCAAAAAAGTTACATTATTTAATTACGTTCTTAGTATATTCTATATTAAAATTAATTAATATGTTGCTTATTTATAAAATTAAAATAAGCTATTTTAGGAAACTTTAAAGTAATTTATTAGTTATATAAATATTATAAAATTATTAATAATTTAAATGTTCTTGATTTAATGAATATTATAATATATATAAATAAATATGGGCAAGAAAATTTTAAATTATATTAAAATATTCTTGTAATAAAGAATTTTTGTTTTATAAGCTTTTTTTGTATTAATATTAAATTAATTATAAATTATATTCATAAAATGTTTTTTTATATAATAAAAAAATCCTGTTTATATAAAATCATAAATAAAACAAAAATTACGTTTAAATAAAAAAATACATTAAATAGTTTCAAGAATTCTAATATGCTAATAGAAAATAATTCGTATGTTTTAGAAAGAGAAAAAATAAAAAATATTTATTTTATATTTAAAATTCATTATTTAAAAAGTATTTTTATTTATAATTTTATAAGATATAAATAATTAATATAAATTATGATAAGAAGAATAAAGAATTAAAAATGATTATTGAATCATAATGAGATAAATATTTATAAAAAAAAAATTAGATAATAATAGTTATAATATTTATAGATAATTTATTAGACTAAAATATAAAATAAAACATATCTAAATTTATTTTATATATATTTATAAATAATATAGTATGATGAAATATTAAATAAAATATAAATAAAATATAAATATAAATATAAATATAATATATAAAATAAAATTAAAATTTTTTAAAAAATTTCTTCTTTATTTTTCATCTTATTTATTATATATTACTTTTTAATAAAAATATAATTATTTTTAATATATAATTATATAATAATCAAATTTTTTTTTATATATATTATTTTAATTAATATTTTTTTTATTGCTTTAATTAAATTGAAAAAATTTATATTTTATATTATTTTCTTTATATCTTTTATTTATAATTTTTTTATATTTAATATATATTAGTATTTTTTATTTTTTTATTTATTATTTTATTTTATTTAAATCTATTAATAAAAAAATATTTAATAAGACACTTTTTATATAAAATTTTAATAATAAAAAATATCATAATATTTTAAAAATTTTACTTTTAAATATTTTCAATTTAGTTAAAATAATTGTATTTTTAAGTACAATTTACATATATAATTATTTATTTTATAATAATTATTAATTCATAATAATAATTTATATTTTCTATTTATTTTAAAAAATATTTTATGACATCAAATTAAATTTTTACATATTTACATATATATTGGAAATAATAAATAAAATATGCGAATAATTTTAATTTTCAAAAGAAATATATAAAATAATATTATAATATAATATATTGTAACTTAGTATTAAATAAAATCGCAAATATTTAACTTTTTTTATTTTTTTTTATGTTTTTTATACTAAAAAATACATAAAAAAATAAGTTTTATAATTTTTTTATGTTTTAATAAAAATATTTTTTGATGCATAAATTTATGGGTTGTATCTCCAATTAATTATTTTTTATAGTATATTTTTTTAAGAATTTTTTTCATTTTTTAATATTATTTTAATCTGAATTGCCAAAAAATGTATTAGTAAAAAAATTTTTTGTACTATTCCAAACAGTAGCTTTTTATCTTGCTTCATTTATTTTTTCTCTATCTTCTTTAGTCATTTACAAAATAGTCATTATAGCAGACATAAGTAGAGTAGCTTCATTATAATATTTTCCTTCTTAATAAATAAAGTATTTTAGTATAACATTTTTTAGATATTAAGAATTGATTGTTTATATTTTTTCAATTTGAAACTAGTTATTATTATTTCTAACCTCTTATTAATTAGTTTCTTAAATTTAGTTTTCTACTTTTGGTTTATCATCATCTTAATTTTTTTTAATATTTTAATTATACTATTTTATTATTTAAAAAAATTATATATTTAAACAATATTTTATTTTTTACTTTAATAATTTCTTAATCAGTTTAAATTGCTATTGAAACACAATCAATTATTTACCTTTATTGTTATTTATTTTAAAGTTTAAGATCTTCGATTTCACTTTCTAAAGATTTGGTTTTTTCTATTGCTTTTTCAAGTTCATTTTTTATTTTTAATTATACATTTAATTATTAAGAATTTGCAATTTTTTAATCTAAATTTGTTTTAAGTTACGATTTTTAACTATTATTTTATAATTCTCTTAATAATAATTCTGCTTTATATTATTAGAATTATTCTTCTATTTTTTTAAGTTGTGAAATTTCTTCATTTTTAGTTTACAAAAAGTTATTTGTATCTAAAATTTCTTCAGCTAATTTTTAATTATTTTCCCTTAATTCATTGATAATATCTTCATATATTTTTTTTTCCTTTTCTGGTAAACTTTATTAAACTACTCCATTATTATTATTATTTTTTTATTATTACATTAATTTTTCATATTTTTATTACATTTCTTATTTTTCTTTATTTACTTCTTGTAAAATACTTGTTAAAGACAAGTTTCTTTGTTCTTCCTTTTTTATCCATAATTCATGTAATTAATCGTATTCAAATGATCCTAATGTTATTGCTTCAAAATTAATATCATTCTCATTAAATATATTTTAGCGAATAAATTTTGTTAAGCAATCATGATCTTTCTTCATAAGTTTATATTCTTTAAAATTCTTCACATATTTTGCCTCTAACTTTTGTAATTTTGTATTTAATGTCTTTAACTCTTTTGATTTATCTTTTAATATTGATATTAAAGTTTCTTTGCTTATATTTTAATCCTCTTCGTTTGTTTCATTTTGTTCTTTTTATTGTTATTCTTGCATTTATATTTTATTATTTTTGTGATTTTTATTTTATATATATATTTATATAATTTAATAGCATTTATTTTATTTTTATAAAATTAGGAACTTACAAAAATAGATTTTATTTGATTAAATTAATTTTAAATAAATAAAAAAATAAAGAAAAAATAAAAACTAATTTACTATTTATTAATATTTATTAGAAAATAATCAATATAATATTTCAATACTTTTGTATTTTATTTTAATGTTTCAAAAATATTTTTATATTTTCATAAATAATATATAAAATAAATGTTTTATAGATAAAATAATTCTTATCATTATCTTTTATTTCCTTCATATTCTTTAATTTAACCTCTTAAAAAATTAATTTCTTCAAAAAGATTATTTTTTTCTGCAAGCCAAAAACTTTTTTATTTTTTGTATGTGTTAAGTATTTTCTAAGTCCTATAGAAAGTTTTTATTAAGTCTGCTTATTATAATTTTTAAATAGAAGTATCTCTTGTTGAACTTTATTTTAAATTAGAATTCGATTTTATTTCATTTTTATCTCTTGAAAATTTTTTTTAATGTTACTATTATTAGCATCCTTTGTTTCTTTTTATTTATTATTATTCTATTTTTTTATATTCATTTTCTTATTTTTCCTTTTTTTCTTAATTATTATTTTCTTAAACTTTCCAAGCATTTTTAGTACTTACAGGTTAAGATTTTGGATTTTTAGGAGACAAAAAGAATAATTCTTTTTATAGTATATTTTAATTATTACATTGTAAATCTTAATTATTAATTTAATCCTAATATTAAGGGGATATTTATTTTATAAAAGATGAGTTAATGTTTTAAACTTGATTTTTCATAAAATTTTATTATTATTATTTACATGTATGATAGTTTTTTTAGATTTAAGAATTAATAAAATTCGCTTGTCCTGTTTAAGTGGTTGTTTGGGCTTGATTTTAAGGAAATTTATAATCAGCTTAAATTTTATTAGTATCAATAATTAAGTTATTTTTATTGAACTTTTTTTTTTCCTAATTTTCATTTTATATTTCGCTTTTTAGTATTTTATGAATCTGATTTTACATATATTATATATTGCAAATATCTACTTTTTCCTTGTTTAATAAACTTTATTATTTCTTTTAGTTTGGAGATTATAATGATAATATTTATTATTGTTGTTATTATATATATTACTAAATTTAACTATTTGTTTGTATATTATTCAATGTTTGTTAGTTTTTAAAAATTGAATTTGAATATGAGTGTAATGAATTCTTAAACTCTTTATATGTTGGATTGTTATTTTAAGCTTTTATTTCATTATTATTGTTATTTTTATGAAAATAATTCTCATCTTTGATTATATTTTATTAATTATTATTAATTTTAGTATTTTTTGACTTTAACTAGGCTTAGGGAAGATTACCTAGTAATTCGATTTCGTTTCTTTTATTTTCTTGCTTTTTCTTTTCAATCTTATTTTTCACTATTATATTGTTTTCAGATTAATATTAATTGCTTTTACTATTTTAGCTTTTATCTGGATTTCCTTTTTAACAAGCTATTATTTTTTTTAATGATTTTGCAGATTATCTTTTCATTATTTTTATTTATAAAAAGTGAGTATATTATTTTAAAAATAAATAAAAATTTAAATTTTTATAAGAAAATATATATATTTTTTTTTTTTGAGATTATTTTATTTTATCTAATACAAATTTCAAAAAAAAAAAAAAAAGTTTTAATATTTAAAATAAATATATATATATATATTAAAATATATATATTTTTATTTTTTATTAATATTTTTTCTTTTAATTAAATATCTGATTATATTTTCTTTTTATAATTTTTCATACAGGTAAAGAGAAAGTTTTTTATGATTTGTTGCTGTTTTTTTTTACAAAAAAATATAATATTTTTTTGATATAAAATTATAGTTATATTACCTCTTTATGTAAATATATAGAAAATCAGAATAAAGTGCTGTTTATAAAATTCCTCCTAAACATGAAACCCAAGAAAAGCTTCCGGCAGTCATATATCTATATATCCTTTATTAATTAATTTTATTATAAATATTTTTATTTTATTTTTACCAATTAATAATATAGAAAAATCTGTAAAATCCTAAAGCCGCCATATAATGGCCAGTTATATTTTCACACTTTAATTTTTAAAAAATAAATTAATTTTTTCTATTTAATATGATTTAAAATAAAACACCTCTTTGCTTCTTTATATCATATATAATTAAGGAATAATAGCCAATGATTCTAGCCAAATCGAATATGACCAACTTAATTCAAATAATGAAAATTCTGTGTGAATAAATAAAGTTAATAAAGCCGCTCCTATTTAGTTATATATTTATTTTTATGTTTATTATTAAATTAATATACCAGGATATATAAACTTTAAATGAGGAAAATCATCATTAACATGATCAAAACTCTTTTTTATTTTTATTTATTTTGATATAATTATTTTTTAAAAAATAAAATAAAAAAAAATTTATAATACGTTTTTGAAAATATAATATATATTATTTATAAAATAATATATTTATTACTAAACAGTATGGCTTTTTAACTCTGATTAAGTAAATTAAATAAGCTGTTAATGAAATGTAAAGTATTTTCATTATAACATTATAATAAGAAACAAAATAAAGGAATAAATCCCAATATCTTAATATAAATACCTATTAATTATTTTTTGGATAATGAATAAATAAGATTTTTTTTATTTTAAAAATTTTACAGCCAAATAAATTTCTTGAGATTTGTAAGAAATACCTTTATTTTATTTTAATTTTTATAAATTATTTAATATTTATAATATCTACCTAATACATTTTTGGTACTACGTATTTTAAAAATAAGGATTAAGAATGAAGCTAAATGTAGTAAATCGGCTATTAATCTAAAAAAGTTCATTTTTTAAATATTTTTTATTTTTATTTTTTTTAATTAATTATTATATTTTTTATGGATACGGAAATAATAGTTTTTTTTTTTATACATTAATTAAAATAAATATATATCTTGAATTATTAAAAATTTACACGTAATTTTTATTTTAATAAATAAATTAATTATTTTTATAATAAAATAATTACAATTAAAAATAATAAAAATAATTATTTTATTTCAAAATTCAATATTCATTATAGAATTTTAGTTTAAAGTAAATTCATAAGCCCAAGGATTCCTTTTATATAATATTTTTTTTTTAATTTTAATATATTATATATATTTACTAATCAATAAATTAATAAATTAATTATTTGATGCTTAAATTTTGATTAATCTGATAGGAATTATTATGTTTTTTCGTATTAGGATCAATGTTACCATTTTTATTCATATATTATATTAAGCATTATCTGTCATAAGTATTTCCATTATCATTAATAACTGGATCTTCAAACATATTCTTTTTTTAATTAAAATTAGTGAATTTAAATAAATAAATAAAGATTACTCCACATAAAGAACACATCAAATAATCATGTATCTAAAATCTATTTTAATATTTTTTATTCAAAATATTTTAAAACTCTAAATTTAATTAATTATTATAACTTTAATTCTATTATTAGTTTTTCATTAATCCATTCTATGTATTAGATATATTAAAAAATGATATTAAAATATACAATTATTATTTATGATGTTTAATTTAAAGATTTAGTCACTTATTCATTATTAATAAACCAAATTAATTTTTTAGCTCTATATATATATTTAGTTAAATCTTTTTCATATTATTGCTTCTTTTATCCAGCGCATAAAGTTAAAGCTTATTTTATTTTAATTTATATATACTTATAAATATTCTATTTATTTCTTTAAAATACCTTTTGTCATTTTTTGTATTGCTTATTGTAGTATTTCTATATTTTGTTATTGTTTCCCTTATAGAGCTAATAGTTAACCAATAATTAAATGACCTTTTATATTATAATTGTTTATTTGTACTGATTTTTCTGCATCTTATAAAGCCTTAAAATATTAAAATTCAATTTAATTTTTTTTTTTTTTACTAATTATATTTAATTTAATGATTTATAAGCTCTTGCTCTATTAGAATATAAAATACTATTACTTTAATCAATTTCCTTTTTATATTTTAAGCAAATTAAAATTTTAAATAATTTTTTTAAAAGTTTAAATGTAAAAAAATATTTAAATATAGTAAATATATATGATATTTTTTTTTACTATTGCTTATGAATACATATTTACTGCAATTTAATATTCACCGTCGTTATAACATTAGTTGCCTTTTTCTTTTAAATCTTAAGCTTTTTGATTTTTCATTTATTTACTTTTTATATATATTTACTTATTCTAAAAATATATTAAAATGAATTTATTTTATTAATTTTTAAATCAATTAATTTATAATAAATAGTAAAATACAATTTTCTTCAAAAAATATTTTATTTAAAATAAATTAAATAAAATAAATAAATTAATATATATGGAATAATATGAAAATATAAATGAAATGCTTTTAGGTTTTGAAAAAACTATAATGAATATAAAAGAAAAAGATCCATTATCAAGATAAAAAGCATTAGCAAAAAATAATACAATATTAAAATAAATAAATTCCGAAATAAGCAATTACAAAATGGAATTGGATGGTTTAGAAAAAGGAGAGTCAAAAAAATATTAAGAAAAATTAAAACAACTAAAAGATAAATATAAATAATTAAAAAGCTAATTCGAATAAATAAAAAATGAAGGCACTGAACGTGAATAACTATTTAAAGAAAAAGCAAAATAAGAAGAAGAAGATCTATAAAATATGAAAGGATAAGAAATTATATAAAAAGCTAATAAAATGTAAAATGACGGATTAGATATTTTAAACGATATTGAAAAAATGGTTATTTAATAAAATGAGTTAGCTGATTAGATTAATGAATAATTAAATGCTTAAATTGAAAAACTAGATAATATGACTGAAGATTTTAAATAAACTTAAAATGAACTAAATAGGGCTGGAAGATATATTAGATTTTTCGCTACTTAAATGTATACAGATAAAATATTGCTTTGTTTAGTTGGCTTAATTGTTATTACAGTTATTGTTTTAATTATTCTTACTTCTTTAGATATTGGAGGCAAAAAATGATTTTTTTATTAACTAAAAATTAACTATTATTAAATGTTTATAATTTTTATTTATTATCTTTTGTTTCTTAATTACTATAAAAAAGTTTTAAAAATTTATTTTATCAATATAATATAATTTAATTAAATATAATATTTTATAAACTTTGTTAATAATATTGTCAATTCAAAATTAATAAAATCTAATTAATAATTTTTTAGGAAAATTTAGTATTAAAATCAATTAAAATATTAAGGTAATATTTGAAAATTAATTATAAATATATATTTTAAAGTTGAATTTTATAATTTTTTATTATTTATTAAAAATTTTTCGAAAAAAATAAATAATTATTATTTTATATTGTAAGTTTATAAATAAATTTTAAAATTGTGTTTATTCTTTTTTTTTTTTTTTAATTTAATAAAAAGAAAATGTAAATAATAATAAATTATTTAAATTTAATATGAATTAAATTAGTAAATAAAATTAAACTTACTACTAGATAATACTTAATTGCTGATTTTGGTATAGAAAATAAATTATTTAAGTTAAATATAATTTATAAAAGCTGCTTTTAATAAATAAAATCAATTTTTTGAATATCCTTCAGAAATTAGAAAAACACTTAAACTTTTATTATCTTTTTTTGCTTATCTAAAATATCAATATATAAAAAAATATTAAATTATTTATTGAACAGGAACAACTGAATGAACAATATAATAAAATAAATTAACAAAGTATTAAATATTGAGTAAAAACATTTGTTTTTTATTTTGAAAGGAAGAAACTAACTTCGCTTAAAATATCAAGATCTAAATAAAAATAAGCTTTCAAAATAATGAAATTTCGCAAACAAAAAGTAAAAATTGCATTGATTAATATTGCTAAAAATACTTAGTTAAAAAACAAATAAATATAAAAATGTTTATAAGCTAATTCATAAAATCTAATAGTTATTAAGGCTAAAATAGAATATTGTTATTTTCGATTAATGTTATAATATTTGTAAATAAGTCAAATAAATTAAAAGAGAATAACATAAATAAATTAAATAATTTAATAAAAAATTTAATTCTTTATTTTAAAATAAGGTTAAAACATAATAGTTGTTCTAGAAAGTAATTATGTATATGAAAACTCTTTAGATATTAAGATTCATAAGGAAATAAATTAAATTATTTAATTATTTTTTCATAAAAATAAAATAAAGTTATAAAATTTATAATTCAAATAATAATGACATGATTTTTTTTTTAATTTTTTATTTTATTAGTATTTTAAATGAATAAAATAAAATAATTTTTGGAGGTGAATTTTAAAACAAAAGATAATAATTTTATTATTCATATGCCGAAAATAATTAAGTATTTAAGCTTTGGATCATAACTGGAAAAAAATTAATATTTATAATAATAAAATAGTTATAATTTCATAATTTTAACTTCTAGAAGGCTTTGACTTTTTGAATAGTTATAAAATAATATTAGAATTAAAATTCTACAGTATGTTACTTCAAATTATTAATATGAATAATATACATAATAATTTATTAATTAAGTAATAAACAAAGAAAATTATTAAAAGTATGAATATTTGTAATAATACTAATTAAATTTAAAATGCATATAGAATATAAAATATGTTATAAGAGTTTTACAAAAAAAATATTAAGGCATTTAATTGTTTTTTGAAAATTATAATTATAAAATAATAAATTATATTCATAAATATAATATTTTCTTTGAAAAAAAATCTTCGGACTAGCTGAAAATGAAGTTTAAATAATATAAAATAAATTATTAAAATTAAAGAGTAAAATGCTAATATTTATGTGTTAAAAGAGAAAAATATCAGAAATTATAATCTGAAATATAAATAAGCAAGATTGAAATTATTTTAAAGAGTTCTTTTAAAAATTTAAGATATAATAAAATATAAATAAAATCTTAATATTTTAATAAGAGACAAATAAAAATTTAATTAATATAAAAAATAAAAATTAAAAAAGAACACATTTCAAATAAAATAAATTAAAGATAAATTAAAAATATATTATATTATATCATAATCAAATAATTTTAAATAAAAAAAATGTTTTAATATATAAAAAAAAGAAAATATATAAAAATAAAAATAAAAAATATTTATTAAATATTAAAAAAGAAAATTTACAATAATTTAATATAAAATGAAATAATAAATATAAAAAAAAAAATTATATATAAATAAAAAGATGTATTTTTAAATATGTATTTTGGTTAAAATTAAAAAATAAAATAAAATAATAATATTAATAAAATATAAATAAAAAAAATATAAAAAAAATATATAAATATATATAATATATATATTATTTATATATAAATATTTAGAAATATATAACATAAAATTAAATAATATTTCTATCACAGATTTTTTTATATTTAAATTTTTTATAAACCATTTTTTTACTAATAAACTAATGAATTAATCTTTAATAATAATATATACTTAAATTCTTTTTTTTTTTAATATTAAAATAATTCTTTACTTTTTTTTCATTTGTGTCTATAAAAATAATTTATATTATTAAATATATAATTTAAAAAAATGAGAATTAATGGATTTACACCATTCTCTATGGAAGAAGAGTATTAAGGAGCACATATAGATGAAGATGGTTTTATTTAATTTACAAAGGCTAAAAAACGTTTTACAAAAGAAGATTAAATATATGGAGTTTTTATGGAAGAAAGCGAATAAGAGAAAAAACCTATAATTAACTTCAAATAAAATGGATTATAAAATATGTTTAGAAAAGGTGGAGAAATATTGTATAATCCAAGTAAATAGACAGTAAAAGTAAAAGAAAAAAAGAAAAAGAAAGTTACTTTTGACGAAGAAAATTTAAAAGAAAACTTTGTTTTGGCCAAACAAGCAAGAGAAAATTTTAATCCATTATAATATTTAAATGATGAAGATGATGAAGATTTAAATGAATTCGATTACAAAGAAAAAAGTGAGGAAATATAAAACGGAGATGATTAAGAAGAAGAATCAGACGAGTAAGTATAAGAAATAATTGTGAAAAAAATAAAATTAAATAATGTATAAGAATAAAAAGAAGTAGTTAAACACGAAGAAATAAGATAAAAAAAAATTTTCGATTTCAAATTAAAAAATTCTTAAATAGAAGAAAAATTCGAACAAAATTTTAATTTACCAATTAGTTTTGGAAAAAAAGGTATATAAAAAAATGAAAAGATAGAAAAAAAAGAGTTATAAAAGAAATTTATTCCTTCCAAAGAAGAAATTGAATAATAAAATAGTTACGGAAAAGGGTATAATATGTTAGTAAAAATGGGATATAAATAAGGAAAAGGATTAGGAAAAAATGAATAGGGAATAGCTAAACCTATAGATGCGTTTTAGAAATAAAATTTCGTACTTAAAGAAAATATAGAAGAAATAAAGAAAGAAAATAAAAAAATATTAAAAAATTTAAATATCGATGTTGATAATAGTGATAAAGATGATGAAGATTTTGATGAAATTTTAATTGAGAAAATTTATTAGAAAAAAAATAAAAATAATTAAAAGAAAAATTATGGTAATAAATTTTTTGAATATTTAGAAAATAAAAATCTGAGTTAAAAAAAATTAAATAATAATGCTTTTTAATAAAAATAAAAAAAAAAATAACAAGAAGAAAAAGAAAAAGGAGAAATAGAAAAATTTTCAATTAAAAAGAAAGATTATGATTATTCTTAATAAATTTATTCTTTACGTTAAAGCAATAATATTTCATCAAATATTATTAAGCCTCTTAATAATATTTCAGGAATTTTTAATACTTATGTCATAATGAGTAAATTTGATAAAGTTTAGGCCAAGAAACTTGATTTTGAGTAAAAAATATAAAACGAAAAAGACAAAATAATTAATTATTAATATTTCTAAGAACAATTAAAGCAAAAAATATAAGAAAAATAACAAAATTAGCAAGAAACAATTTGTATATTGAAAATGCTAAAAGAAATTAATGAAAAAAAAGGAGAAAAAGAATAATTTTTAACAAAGGAATTTCAAGAAATATTCCAAAAATCTCCAAAATATTTTATTTTTTACAAACTTCATTATTTATTGATAAAATTGTTCATTAAAAAATTTGAAAAAAAATGTCAGAAATCCTTTATTTTCAATAAATAATAGATTTTGGAAATTTTAAAAGAAATATATGAAATAAAAAAACTATTAAAAAATACATTGTTGCATTAATAAAATGAAAAACTTGAAATTTATGAAAAAGAATTAGAATTTGAAGTAAAACTTAGACGAGAAAATAATTTAAATGAATAAAATAAACTTTTATTGTAAGAAAATATAAAATTTTTAATTGAAAAATGTTTTTTAGAAGAATTAAGAAAGTTTTTAATTATTGAATTTAATCCTACAAACTTAAAGGAAAATTTAGAGATTATAGATGTGCTTGAAGAAGTTTCTAAAATTTATAATTTGGATAATATTTTATAGAATGTGATAATCCCGAAACTAATTTTTTTTATTAATAAAGAAGATTTGGATATAAAAACCGAGTTATGGATTAAACCTTGGCTTGCATTGGTTTAAAAAGAAGATTTAGTAGATATTAAGAATATTATTTTATAAAAATATAGTTTGAAATTATAAAAATGGGAATTTTTTGATGATGATTGTGAAAAATTATTGGATTTAATAAAAGTATGGAAGGAGTTTTTGGGAGAGAAAGAAATTTAAAAAATTCTTTTAAAATTCGTTATACCAAAAATACAATTTTTTTTAAATTAATTCGAATTAAATCCTTTCTAATAATAATAATTAGATAAGTTTAAAATATTTGTGTAAATTTGTAAAAATTTAGAAGAAAGTATAATATTAGATTTAATCGGAGATGGATTTTTAATTTAAATGGCAGAAATTTTAAGCGAATGGATTTAAGAAGAAAATAAAGAAGAAGCAAAAAATTGGGTTTTAGGATGGGAATAAATGTTAGGATAATAATTAATGAGTATTTAAGGAATAAAAGATATATTTAAATAATTTTATGATAAAATTTAAAATAAAAATAAATGATAATCATTTATATATAAAAATATTTATATGTTAAGATTATATAAAAAAATTAAAGAAATAATGATAAATATATAAATATATAAATATAAAAATATATAAATATATAAATATATATATACATTTATATATATATTTGTAATTTATTTATACTATTATATATTTTTTTTTATTCTCTGTTTTTAAATTAATTTAATATTATAATATCTAATTACTATGATATTTATTTATTTAATTTTTTTTTTTATATTTCTCTATTTTATTTTAATATATAGATATTAAAATAATATATTAATATAATATTTTCTTTTTCATAATCTGCTGCTTTAATTTATGTATTTTATTAAAAGATATTTATTTTTATAAATAATTAAATTAATTTCTACAAACATTTTTAAAAGAATAAGTTTATTTTCTTATATTTTTTCTTTTTGTGTAATAATTTTTTTACTTAATATATAAGATATAATAATCTTATTAATTATATATATTATTCATTCATTAATTAATATTTTATTTTTTTTAAATTGTTTGAATTAAAAAGCTTATTAACATCAGCTATATTTACTAACCATTAAAGCATATTAAATACCTTTTCATAATTGTTATAACCTTTTTTAAATAAATGATTTTCATTTATTTGTATATCTTCATATTCTATTTAAGGTATTTTTTAATTATTTGTCTCAATTTTTTCTTTTTATCCTTTTAAAATAATATATAATATTTTTATTATTGTTAAATATATATTTTACTTATATTTATTATTTATTTGGGTATATAATTTCAAATAATCCTTTCTCATTATTAATAAGATATCTAAAATCATCAGTACTAAAAACATTTAATTGTGCAAAATTTAATTTCATTATATTTTTTTAAAGTGCAATCATAAAGTCTTTACTACAAGAAGCTAAAGTAAAAATGATTAAATCTGTACAAATTCTTCTTTACATATTTTTCCTTTTTTATATTTTATAATTAATAATTTAAATTATAAAAAACTTTATATAAAATAATACGGTTATACTAAATTATGAAAATTAGTTCCGTAATTAAGTTTAAGTTTGAAAATATTTCTAATAGCTTTTAAACCTAAAAATCTAAGTAAAGATTTATAATCATAGCTTTAATTTACTAATTTTTTTAATTTCTCAACAAACATATTTCTTTCATTTTAATTCATATTAACTCTAAAAATCAATGGTTCAAATTTTTCCATTAAAAAAATATTTGAATTAATAATTCTTATTTTTGGAGGAGATATATGTAATACTTATTCTTTATTTAAAAATACTGATGCATGATCATATTCTATATCTATTGCTTTTCTGAAAAGTCCATAGATACTACTTTATGTTTTTGTTAATACTATATCACCTTCCTGTATATTTTCTTTTAATTATTAACTATGTTAGAACTCTTCGATTGTAAAAGTTTTATTGTTTTCTTATCCAAAAGCCAGTGAGTCTGGAGAAAAAAGTTTAAATAATTTAAAAAATATGTTATCGAGGTTAAACATTTATTTTTTATAAGTTAAAAAAAATATTAATAAAATTACTAACTTTTTTTAAAAAAAATATAAAATATATTTTTAGTATATAATTATTTATCTTTATAATAATTTTTATTTTTTTCAATATATATCGTTATCATATTATTAATCTTCATTTTTATCCTTGTCAATTCTCGACGAATTTTACATTCTTTTTCCATTTACCCAGTAACCTTTTCCAATTCTACCATCATGGGCAACAACAGTTCCTTCACCATTTTATTTATTATTTTTCCATTCTCCAACATATTTTTTTCCATCAGGATAAATCATTTCACCTTAACCGCATTTTTAATCATCTACAAAATTGCCTTTTTTTATTTTTTTATTATTTAATAAAAAAAAAATAACCTTTATAAACTTTTTTATTATGATAATAAAGTTCTCCATATCCATTCATTTTATTATTTTACCAATTACCTAAATATTTTTTTCCATCTTTAAAATAATGAGTACCAAAACCTTAAATCATTCCATTTTCGAAATCTCCTTCGTAATAAGATCCTTCTTCATTTTTCCAAACAAGCTTTCCTTTGCCATGTTTTAATCCATTATAAAAATACCCTTCATATGTAAAATATTATTATTATTCTTTTCCAAACCCGTGTTATTTATCTTCTACCCAATCTCCTTCATATATTTATCCATCTATATGTACAAATATACCTAAAATTTAAAAAAATTATAATTGAATAAATTATTTAATTAAAATCTACCTTTTCCTTAAGCTCTATCATTAACCCATTATCCTTAATAATAATCTCCGTCTGCATGGATTAATCGTCCGTTTCCATTTGCTTTATCATTTTCCCAATCTCCTTAATAAACAGAACCATCTGACCAATATTACTTTCCTCTTCCATGTCTTTTTCCATTAAGCCATTATCCTTTATATACAGCCTCTGATTAAATAAATTTATAAGGAGGTAACCTTATTAAATCTTTAAATTCAGGTCTTAAGGGCCAATTGTACTTTTAACTTAAAATTTATTCTACTTAGATTTTATCAGTTTATGGATTTTTATTGTATGGAATTGCTATTTTTTGGGAAGGAATATGTTCTAATTATTAACTTTTTAAAATTTTAACGTTTTCACGTTCTTATTTTCCTCGAACATATGATTATATTTTGACTATTTTTTATTGGGTTGGATTATCACAATAATAATTTGATATTTTCATATAATCTACATTTTGTTTATCAAATTTTGTTGTTCTTGTATCTGATTAGCAGCAACCCTATTTTTCGTTTTATTTTTATTTATTTAAATATTTTTATATATATATATATTTTTTAAAAAATAAATATAATAAAAGTAAATTAATATTTTATATTAATTTATAAAAAATTATTATTGAATTTTTTTTTTTTTTCTTAATATATTTTATTAATAAATTAAATAAAATTATTTTTATTTGACAATTTTCAATTTTATTTTTTAAATATTTATAAAAAATTTAATTAAATTTGATTGCAAATATATATATAAACATGTTTTTAATATAAAAATAAATAATTTAATTATTTTTTTTTTTAAAAAAAAAAACTAATAATAAGAAAAAAGTATTAAATAATTAATTTAAAAATATATATAATTATTTATATTTTAAAATAATATATATATATATATATTTATATATTTATTTATATATATATTTATTTATTTTATTTAATTTGTTATATTATTGATATATAAATTCTAATTTTAATTTATTTTTTCTTTTAAAAATTTATTTATGAATTTTTATAAATATATAATTTCTTTTGTTTATTTAAAAAAGTAAATATTAGTTTTTTCCATAAAAAATAGTCACTATTTATTATTTTTAAAATTTGAAACATTAATATCTTAATATTTTTTGTTTAATTATTATTTAGATAGAAGTAGTTCAATTAATAAATTAATTTATTTTTAAATTATTATAATAATTTTAATAATATACAAAAATACATTATTTAAGATATTTTAATTAATTAAATATTTTGAATAATATAAAAAAAAACTAAGTTTTAATCTTAAATTATAATAAGTAATAATTTCAAAGGAAATTTTAAAACAAAATAAGAATAATCTAATGTAATTAATTTATTTAAAAAATGATAATATTTTCAATAAATAGTTTTAATCATAATTATTATTATTAAAATTAAAATAATATATTTCAAAAATTTAACTAAACAATTAAACGATAAAAATGATTTTGTTATTAATTTTATTTTATAATTAATATGAGTATGATTGATTTTTGTTTTTTTGTTTTAAAAAAAAAATAATAATTATTATATAAAAATAAATTATAAAATATATATATATATATATAAATATATTTTAATTTTTTTCATTTTTATAAATTTTTTAATTATTAATATAATTGCTTATTTATTTCTCGTTAATTTTATAATGCTAACTCTTTGTCAGTTAATAGTTCGGTTAAATTATTTACCTTTAATTATTAATTTTTTTTTTTTTGTAAAATAATTAAAATAAAAAAAAGTAATTACAATATTTTAAAACATTTATTAATTTCCTATAGTTGATATATTTTTTTCATTTGTTTATTTTAAATCTTTTACATATGTCTAACTAAGTCTTTTTTAAAAAAATAATAAAATAAATAAACATAATAATACTAACTTATCAAATTATATTTCTAGTGAACTTATTTTTTTTTTAAGATCATCGATTTCCAGAATTTTATTTTATAGTTAATTTTTAAGAATCTCCATAATAGAAATATCTATGTTTTCATTTTTTTAAATATTTTACTTTTATATACTAGTATTTAAATGCAAAGTTTATTTTCCATCGATATTAATTTAATTATTAGAAGAGATTTTTTCTTATTATAAGCTATTATATTTTTTATTCATATGGTTAATTTAATTTTATAAGTTCTCATTTTCATTAATTAATTCTTCACTTTTAATTTATATTTAATTAATTTATGCTTAAAGTTAATAATTTTTTTTAATCCAACATTACATTTAAACTTATATTAATTAAATTTCATTAAAATACTTTTCTATTTCTTATTATTTGGCTAGTTCATTAAATTAAATTTATTTAGTTTATTCTTCATTTTATTTTTTTAAATTTTCAATTTCTTCATCTTTTTTTTCAAGTTCATTTCTCAAACTTTCGATTTGTTATAAAAAAAAAATTTTTCATTCAAAAATTATTAATGAACTTTATCTAATTATTCGATTTTTTAATGTTCTTCGTAGAATTTCTCTTTTATTTCTTTTGTTTGCATTTCTAAAAGTTCGATTTTTTATTCGTGCCTTTCGATTATTCTTTCATATTTTTATAATTGAATTTTTAAAATTTATTTTTCTTATTAAACTTAGGAAAGTTCTTTTACTAATTTATTTATTTTAAATTATTGTTCGTAAACTTAACTTTATATCATATTCGTATTTTCCTGAATTTTGTCATTACTATTTTATTTCAAACATAAAATTCTTAAAGCAATTGCAATCACATCCCTTCTTGAATTATTTTCAGCTTATAACGTATATTTATTTTTCTAAAAATCTAATTAAAATAAATTATTTGTTTTTTTTATTATTTTTATTTGAGGCTAATATTCTTCTAAATTACATTCTGTGTTAAATTCTATATTATTATCATTTATACTTAATTTTATTTTTTCTTAATCTAATTCTAGTATGCAATCTTGGGGTAAATGTATTTAATGTTATTCCTCTTTTTCAATATTTAACAGTTTTGTTAATATTTTTACCCTTCCTGCTTCTAATAATTCCTATACTTCTTCTTCTATATTTTGATTCAATTCAATTATTTCACTTTCTATTTTTAAACATTCACCTTAAAATTCGTCATTTTCTAATTAAGGTGTTGCTTCTACTAAAATTCTTTTATATTTAATATTTAATAAATTTATATATTTATAATTAACTATACTATGTGTTTATATCATCTGTATTTAGCTAATAAAAGGCACCAGTTACACCTTCTATTTATATTATTTTTCCATCTTTATATTTATTGTACCATTTACATACTATTGGTATAGGATAATTTACTATTTTTTTTTTTTTTTTATAAATGATTTGTTTGTTACTGTTTTTTTCTAAAATTGCTTCTGCTATTAACATTTCGGATATATATTTTCCCCCTTTTAATGTAAAGTTAAAGTGTGATTGATTATATATATTTTTATCTGAATCGCTATCCAGAATTTTCATTATTCTATCTTTAATTATTTACATTTTTATTTATATTTATGTTTATTTTTTTTATTTTTTTATCTTTTTTATTTATACAAACAAAATAAGAGTACTAAATCAGTATTTTTTTAAAAATACTAAGCCTTAAATATATTCAATATAAATTTAATTTTTAAAAATTAAAATAAATAAATATATATATAAAAAAAGAGAAAAAAATTAAACTTTTTAAAAAATATATTTTATACTTATTTAATAAATATATATATGAATATTTTATAATAATAAATTATTTATTAATTTATAACTTTAATTAAAAAAATTTAAATATCCGATTTCTAATAAGTTTTTCTCATAAAATTATTTATTAGCAAATGTTAGGTTTAAATCTCTATGTTTTTCATCTTATTTAAATCGTATAAATGACATAAAAAATGATGTTCTATAATAATAACACCAACACCAGTATTTTCTGGAAATTTATGTTGCCATTATAGTTTTCCAATTCGAAATCGGGGATAAAACTTCAATACAATGTGTGTAAGTTTTAACTGCTTCTTCTTCTAAATATCCGACTACTCTATGACAAACCTTAGGGAAAAACATATATAAAATACTAAATAGACCGACGTATCCAAATTGTGCAAAAACTACTCCCATTCTGAATAAAGGAGAAGGTTTTTAGACTTTCATAAAAGTCAACAAATGCATTCTTTCATTTTCTGCCTCTTCTAATAACGTATGTATCCATCCATAATCTCTTTACATGTTTCTTAAAGAAGTTAAATTACGATGCATAGCAGCTACAAAACCAGGAACTCCAGCTACTGTTTCTAAAAACAGCATTCTATTTAACCATTTTTTCTCTGAAATAGGTTTAGTTTTATCTTACCAAGGGAATATTTGTTTGTAACCACTCATAATATCAAACGAATATATTAATGAATTTATTTCTAATACAATAGGGTTACTTTTATATCTTTTTCTTAATATTCAGTTAATATAATATGAGATAAATACCAAGTATGTTTCTTTCATGATAATTTCTTTAACTTCTTTAACTTTTTTTACTTTAATTCATCAATCAAGTCAGTCTTTTTGAAAATACAAAATTATAATACGTTTATTATCTTGTAAAAAATTATAAAGATTTTGATTATTATATATTTATTATAGTAAATTTGTATTTTTTTTATCAATTTTTGTTAATATTTCTTTACTTAAAATAATTTATTTTTAGAAGAATAATTTTGTTTTTTGTTCATTTTGGGTATAAATTTTTGTATAATAAATATTTTAATTTATATTTATATTAAAATAATTATAGAAATCATGTTACAATAATAATTCTGGTTTTTATGAATAAAATAATTAAATTAATTAATATTTATAAAATAATAAATTTTTTCTCATAATAATAAATATTAAAATAAAATTTATATTAATTATATCAGTTTTATGATTAATTTTATCTAAAAAATAAAAATATTATGATTTTGATTTTCTTTAAAATAGAAAAAATAATGTAAGAATTTTAAGAAATTTATAGAAAAGCAAAGAAATAAAAAATAAAAAAAATAAAAAATGAAAAAAATAAAATAAAATATAAAATATAAAAAAATAAATGATAATAAAGCAATAACTATTGTTTTTAAAATATATATATAAAAATAAGATATAAATAATAAAAAAGATAAGAATAAATTATAATAATTATAAAAACCCTTTCTTTTTTATCAATGTCCTGGAGGAAATTAATTTTTATCTAAAATTTATTTATCAGCTAATGTGTGGTTTACATCCCTATGATGCTCTTCATCTTTTCTAATAGCATAAATTACATCTAAAAGTGATGCATTGTCAGATAAATACCAATAGTTTCTGGAAATCTATGGTGCGACCATAGTTTTCCAATGCGAAATCGGGGATCCTTCCTAATTAATAACTTCAATACAATGTGTGTAAGTTTTAACTGCTTCTTCTTCTAAATATCCGACTACTCTATGACAAACCTTAGGGAAAAACATATATAAAATACTAAATAGACCGACGTATCCAAATTGTGCAAAAACTACTCCCATTCTGAATAAAGGAGAAGGTTTTTAGACTTTCATAAAAGTCAACAAATGCATTCTTTCATTTTCTGCCTCTTCTAATAACGTATGTATCCATCCATAATCTCTTTACATGTTTCTTAAAGAAGTTAAATGACGATGCATAGCAGCTACAAAACCAGGAACTCCAGCTACTGTTTCTAAAAACAACATTCTATTTAACCATTTTTTCTCTGAAATAGGTTTAGTTTTATCTTACCAAGGGAATATTTGTTTGTAACCACTCATAATATCAAATGATAATCTTAAAGATTATATAAATATATTAGCAAAAGAATCTCCAATTGTACTAGGCTATAGATGAGTAATTTTAACATCTTTAACTTCATTTTCAGTCCATATAGGATGAGGCATGTGCCATGTTTCTTTCTAAATTATTTCTTGAGCTGCTTAAGCTTTTCTCTATTTTTCTTCATCTGTCATTAAGAAATTTGAAAAATTAAAATATGGTTATTAAATAATAACCAAGATTTTAGATTTAAATAACTAAGAACTTTTATGTATTAACATATTAAATATTTTATTGTTTATTTATTTTTTTGATTTTTATTTAATATTTTATTAATTAATTTATTAATAAAAGTATTAAATTATTTATATTTATTTATTTATTTATTTATATATATATATATATATATATATATATTAATATATATGTTTTTATATTTTTTTAAATATATATATTTAATTACACATATAGTTTTATATATTTTATTTTATATATAATTATTTTTTATTTCTAATAATAATTAATTGATTTTTTTTTTCAATTTTTTTTTAATTTATTATATTAATTTTTTTTTATTTTTTTTATATAATATGTAAAATGAATATTCTAGAAAACTAAATAAATTATATATAATATTAAATATTAAAAATAATTAAATATTTTTTATAATATTTATATTATTAATTTTTAATTCTATATATATATATTAACATATTCCATATTTTTTTTTTTTAATCATTATTCATTATTCATTTTTTTTTTTTTTTTTTTTTATTTAGAAATAAATCAAAAAATTTAAAACATAATATCTTTTTTTAAATTAAAATCTATTTTGTAATAATATTCATTTTAATTTTATATTTAAAATCTTAATAATTTTTTATTATTATATTATTATTATTTTTTATATCAAATATATATAAAAATATATATATAATATTAGAAATTAATATAATAACAAATACTAAAATTTTATAATTTTTTCTTATATTAAATTTATTTTTATCATAATTTAAATTTAATAAATAATTCTATTTTATTTTTAATTTAAATAAAAAAAAATAGAAAACAATTTTAATATTTATAATAAAAAAATTCATTTTGCATCATTGGCGATAAACTTAGCATAAAGAAGCGAATCCTTTTAAATATCTAAACTAAACATAGCATAGCAAACAAAAAATACTAAAGCTGTAAAGAAAAATCCAAACCAAGCTCTCAAAACATAAGATTATGAATATTATTACTTAAAATAAAAAATTTTAAAATAAAAATTAGAAAATTTATAATAAAATACTGATTTTGTAAGTTATGAAGTTTAAGCTAAAATTCTATATTAGCTATTAGATTAAATTCTTTCGAACAAATGTGAAGAACTTAATAATTATTTTTCATTTTCTTAAATAAAAATAACTTATCCATATACATTTTCAGAAAGGAGTTTTCTATCAAAATTTTTAGTAGCCTTTTTTATAAAATTAAAAACATATATAAAAAAACGATACATTTTTTATAATTAAAGATAAAATTTCCATTGAAAGTTCAAATTCTGATTCAGAAACATTTTGTTTTAATAAAGGAAGGGAAGAAATATGAATTGTTAAGAAAGTAGGCTAATCTCCTGCAACAAATGAACTTGATAATATATTTGCAGCACAAATATCATTTAAGAATTATTTCACAGATTCTTTGTTATTTTCTGTTATTTTAATTTATTATAAACTATTTTTCTTTGATATTAAGTTTTTTTAAGCATCAAAACTATATTAAGAATCTAATACTTAATTTACACATTTTTATAATTTCATTTGTTTAAAATAATTTTTGTTAATTTAAACATCTTTTAAATATAAATTTCCCTTTTTTAATATTTAATTTGAAAGAAATATTTTATATATATTAATAAAAAAATATATATTTTTTTACGTCTTGATTTTGTAATAATTTTAAACCGAAAATATCTTAGTATTTTTCGAAAGACTATTCTTATTAAGAATAAATGTAAAATTCTTTTCTTTAATTTTCGAATTATTAAGTTTAATTGATTATTGATTATGGATTATCTTTTTTTTTTTAATAAAATAAAAATATTATTTTTTACCTAAGTTAAATATAGCGTCTAAAAGAAGATTATCTTTTTCTTCATTTAATTCGATGATTGATTAAAGAGGAGATTTCATTATTTATTATTATGAACTTTCATCTAAATCTCCTTCAATAATGAATAAATAATTCATATCCAATGGCTTTAAGACACTAGAATGTGGCTTTCCGTTTTCTTTTAAAAAGCTGATTACTTTTTGCGTAGGTTTAGAAGTTAATAAACCCATATTATGACTTAATACACTAAGATAATCTTCTTAAGATTAATTAATAACTTGAGATTAAGATTATATGTTTTCATTATAATTTAAAATATAAGAATTAAACTTTTTTGTATGACAGTCTTTATATAATATAATATTGTTTTTTTAATTTTTTTTATGGTTAGGATTAAAAAAAAGTAAAATATATTAAAATAATGTGATTTTTTACATGAAAATACTAACAAAAATACTAATGCAAGTTTCATATTTGATTTGTTGTTATAAAATGCGTGTTTTTATTTTTTTCTTATATTTTTTTTAGAAATATTAATATTATATTTTTTTTTTATTTAATTATAAACTAAATAAATTATATTTATTTTAAAGGTTTTAATTTTATTTTGTTTTTTTCTTTGTATTTGTTTAAATTATTTTTCTCCTCTTTAAATCTTTTTATTTTTTATTTTATTTAATTTAAATATAAAATAAAAATAATTAATATATATATATAAAAAAAAAATTATTATAATTAAATAAAAAAATATTTTATAAGAAATATATATAAATAAAATTAAAAATAATATTTAAAAATTTAATTTAATTAAAAAATATTAAAACATTATTTAAAATATTTTATTTTTAATTTATAATATTATAATTTTTTTTTTAATTAAATATAAAAAAATGCAAATATTTAAACCTATATAAATGAAATATTTTAACTACAAATAAAAATAAAAATAAAAATAAAAAAAATCATTATTAATATAATGATGATTAAAGATTATTTTATTTTTATAAATTTAATTTATTATTTTACTATTATTATATTTATTACTATTATTATTAAAAAATTACTTTTATTAAATTTATTGATTTTAAGCATTCAATTATAACTATTATATTTATTCTGGTAATTATTATTAGGGTTATATTTATTGTTAATTTTATATTAATTTTTATTATTATAAAAGTAATAATTATTAGTATTATTATTATTATTATTATTATTATTATTATTATTATTATTATTATTATTAATTCTACAAATACATTGTTTAATTTTTTTAATGTAATTATATTTATTATTATTAATATTATTAAACAATTAAACTTTATTTGTTAAAATAAAATTATTATTAATTTAATAAATTATAATCTTATATATTTGGCATATATTAATTATTGCATAAACTTTATTTACAATAATTATTTTTCTCATTATCTTTTGATATATCTTAAATTTCTTAATTTTATTTTTTTTAATTTTAAAAATTTAAAAATCCTTCTTTTTATATATTATCTGCAGATTAATATTATTATTATATTTAATTATTAAAAAATTGATTATTTTAAGTATAATTTATATTACTATTATTTTAATTATTTAGATTTTTTATTTCAAAATCATTTAAATTAAATTAATTTACATTTCCATCTTGTATTGTATTATTTTATTAATTAATATAATTATTATTATTATTTAAATTTTTATTTTCATTTGAATTCTGCATATATTAACTTTCGTTTTGTAGAAAGCTTTCTTTATTTTCATAAACAGACAATGATTTATGTCTTAAATGATTTTAAACTTAAGGTGTGAACTAAGAAATTACTAAAAATTTGAATATTTTTATTAAATCTGCATGTTCTTATCCAATAATATCAAGGCAGACGTTTTTTTGTTCATCTAGAAGTTTTATCGGATTAGATGAAGACTCAAGAACTGATTTCATTTTAAGAAATTTTTCTTCTCCAAGTTTTCTTTTTAAGAAATCAGAAAAAAGTATTGTCCTATTTGGAGAAGAAGGAAAATTAAAATATTTAGGTTTAATTTTTGTTGTTGGAAGGTTATTTTATTAAGAATTCATTGATATATTATTTTAGTAAGATATATTTGTCAAATTTATTATATTAGTTGTATTTGTATTGTTTTTAGTTGAAGACCAATTTTTTTTATTGTCCTAAACGCCTACAGTTATAAAATTGTTTGAATCGCATTATGAATATTTCTTAATTACACTTTAGCAACTGTTTTACTATAAAATTGTTATGTTATTTACAATTGATTCTGGAGTTTATTTTTTTATACAATAATTTGAAGTCAATTATGTATCTATTTATATTGGAGGTTTATAACGAGGAATTTTCGAAAATAATTTTCGAGAATTTGATTGAGTTTGGGTTTGGGTTTGAGTTTAGGTTTATATTTAAGTTTGAGTTTGGGATAAGGCTTGATTTTAAATTAAGATATGGGTTTATGTATTATTATTATTATTATTATTATTATTATTATTATTATTATTATTATTATTATTATTGTTGTTGTTGTTGTTGTTGTTGTTGTTATTCATTTTATAAAATATTTTATTATTATGTATTTTACTATTCTTATAAAAATGTATTTTTAATGTGTATATTTTTTTATCTATTGTTTTATTGTTTTTTTCGTTTTTGCTATATAGTTGATCTTACTCTTAAATTATTTGGTTTTATTAAATTTATTTTCTTTCTAACTCTTGTTTCACTAAATATTAAATTGAATTTTATTCAATAATATCTTTATGAGATTTATTTATAAAATTCATGTTTAGATTATTTTATAAGTTTTCATGTTTATTTATTTTTTCTTCGTTTAAAGTTTTTGTTTTGGTATGCTTATCTTTTACTTGTATTTATATGTATTTATCATATATATTTCCGTATTTTTAATTTAATTCTATTAACTTTTAATTATTTTTTATTTTTTTTAAAGTATTTTTTTACTTTAGCCTAGATTTCTTCTATTTCTATCATTTAATTTATATCTGGTCGCCTTTTTATATATGCTTATTAAAAAAACTATTATTAATATTTATTTTACTAAACAGGATTTTTATTTAACATGATTACAATTAAGTTCTTCAATTATTTAGAATAAATGTCTGATATATGTTAAGGTTCTTTATTTATAATCTTTACAATAACTGCCTTTGTATTATTAATTTTTTTTAGTAGCAAATAAAAATAAATACGTTTAAGGAGTCACCAGCAAAAGGTTTTTAAAGTGTACATAGTTCATACAGTAAACATCCCATCATCCATATATCACTTTTATTATTATATGGATTATTTTAGCATATCTCAGGTGATATATAATAAGGTGTCCCTACAGAAGTACTAGTTAATAATTCAGTGTTTTCAATTTATTTAGAAATGCCAAAGTCTCCTAATTTTAACTTTTTTTTTTTTTAATTTTTATTTATTTCAAATTAAAAATATATGGTTACTAATCCATCTTAACTTAAAAAAACATTATTTATTTTTATATCTCTATGTAATATTTTTCTATCATGTAAATATTTAATTGCTGAACATAATTAAGAAAACCAATTCCAAATCTAATTAAAATATGATATATATTTATTTTATTAAAATTTCAATTTTAAATATATAATAATTGATTGATCATAAAAATAAAATTACTAAATCCTCTTCAAATAGTTCATTTTTTTCTATTTTTTCTTTTATTTATTATTTCAAATCACCTTTGTAAATTTTATTTTAATTAAAAAAAAAATATTATAATTATATTTTTATATATTATAAAAAAATAAAAAAACCATTATCTGCATATTCCATAACTATACATAACTTATTATTATGTTCAAATGATTCATAATATTTAATAATATTAGGATGATTTAAAGATTCTAATAATGTAACTTCATTTTATTAATTTGTTTAATCTCCATCTAAAAATAGCCTCTTCATTGCATATAACTATTTTTGAATTTATTTTTTTAATTAAAAAAATATGAATTTATTCTTTATTTTACTTAATTATCTTTTTCAACTAATATAACATCTCCTTAACTTGCTTTGTATATTTTGACTCTTTCTTTCATAATTTAATATTTTGTTTCTGCATTAATTGTCCATATTTTATATTAATAAATATAATATTATTATAATTTAAATTAATTCTTTTGTAAATATTTTCTATTTATAAAATTTATTATTTAAATGATAATTTTTTTTCTCAAAAATAAGATGTTTTTAACAAAATCATTTTAAATAATTTATTAATGATTATATAAATGATTAAAAAAGGATAAAAATTATTAAATATATATATTAAAAAAGATATAATGGAATTATTTAAATTAAATGTATTTAAATATTGTTTAAACTTTATAAATAATTTTTATTTATTCTTTATTTTTTTAAATTTGAATTAATTATTAATATAAATAAAAATTTTATTATTTTTTTAAAAAAATTATTTTATTTTTAAAACTCAAAATAAATTTTTGATAAAAAGAAGTTAATCGAAAGTAACGATATGATATAATAAATATATGAATAATAAATTAAAATTAATTAAATATAAAAAAAATATTATAATTGCATAAAGCTATATAAAATTTAAAAAAAAATTAAAAGAAAAAAAAATTATAAGATTAAAAAAAAAGTAATAACTAAAATTTTAGAAAAACAAAACAAAATTTTCTTTAATAATAATAAATAAAATAAAATAAAATATATATATATATATATAAATAATATATTATAATATTATATAATATTATTATTTGCATTTAAAATCAATAATTAATACTTTTATTATTTTTGAAGTATTCTTTTATATCAAATCTACAATTTGGACAACTACTTTTTTATGTGAACCAAGGTAATATACATTAGTCATGAAATATATGAGTGCATGGTAATTTTCTTATTACTTATCCTTTTTTAAATTAATTATCAATATATAATAAAATAATAACTAATAAAACCCTTTTAGAAATTTTAAGTGCATATTGCGCATTATTTTGAGGTTTTACCCATTTTCATCATTTTTACTAAATTTAAATATTCATCTGATAATTATTCTTATCCTGATATATATTCATCTTAGTCATATTAATATTATTCTAAATCTTATGCCTTTTGCAAAAAAAATTATTATAATTTAATTTATATTTATAAATAAAAAAAATACTAATAAACTTAAAAAAACTTCTTTTGACATTCCGTAAATTGGACATTAAGCTAGTAAATTAAAATAAAAAATTAAATTATAAAATCAAAATAAAAAATATTACAATTTTCCTAATTATTAAAATCAAAATTGTTATAAATATTGTTGCTTTCATTATTCCAATCAATAAAATTTAAATTATATTTTCCATCTTAATTTCTTTTTATTTATCTTTCTTATTAAAAAATTGTATTATTATCCATTAAAATTTTATATATATTTATTTAATAAAATATTGTAATAATTAATTTACTTATAAATAAAATTTAATTATTATATGTTTTTTTAGTAATAATTAATAATATATTATATAAATATATATATAAAAATATTTAAAATATTAATAAAAATACTTATATATTAAATAAAATTATATACAAATATATATATATATATATATATATTATATGTATATATATATATTTTTTTATTTATATATTTTTTTTTTTTTTTATAAATATTTTTATTATTTTTTATTTATTATTTATCATTTTTACTCTTTAATTTTTTAAAAAATTATAAATAAAATAAGTTAAATTATAATATTTTTTATATATTTTTTTTCATTATATTTTTTTTTTAAAAATATATAATTTAAAAATATATAAGTATATTTTAATACATAAATTTGTTATATATATTATCAATAAAAATTTTAAATAAATCAATTATTATTTATTTTTCTATAAAATAAATATTAATATGTTATAAATTATTAAATATGATAATTAATTTTTATATAGACAATACAATATATAATATCTTATTTATTAATTTTATTAATTAAAGTATTAAATTATCTAGTTTATGATTAATAAAAAAATGTTATTTTAAACAAATTTTTTATAATATATAAAAATAACTTAAATATAATTGTCATACTATTTATAATTTAGACTTTTAGTTTAAAACTCAAATTATTTTAAAAATAAAATAATTTAATATAATAATAATATATTTATATTAAATTAAAATATATTAAGATCTTATAATATATTGAAAATATTAAAACATAAAAGAATATAAGATTAACCATCTTTTTTTTTATTAAAAAAAATATATAATAAAAGGTTATATAAAGTTATTAAAAAAATATGAAATATATATTTATTTCTATAAATTATAATTTTTTTAAATCAGGCATTATAATATTGAACTAATTTTTTTAATTATATTATATAAAATAAAAATAGATATTTGTTTTTTAAAATTTTAATTTTTTTTAATTAATTTAGTTAAAAAATATAAAAAATAAGTAAAATTTTAATTATTTTTTATAAGTTTAAAATTATAATAGCAATGATTTAATAATTAATTAAATAAAAGTATAGTATAATTAACTTTTTTTTTTTTTAATTTAGTTTAAAAAAATTTAATGAAAAATAATACGAAAAAAAGAGAAAACATAAATTAATAAAAAGTTATAATAAAAAATAATTCAAAGAAAATATTATAAAATGAATTATATCATAATTTTGAATAAATATATTATAAATATAAAAAAAAAATATTTGTAATCATAATTTAAAACATAAAATAAAAAAAATATAGATATTTTATTATTTAAATAAAAAAACTATATAAAATAGAAGATATTAAAAAAAAAACAATTAAAAAAAATAATATAAAAAAGTTATAAAAAACTTAAAGATAAATAAAATTTATTAAAGAACATATGTAAGTGTTTTATTTTTTTTAAGAATAATATATAAAAAAATAAATTTATAAAGTTAATTTATTTACATATTAAATTATTTATTTATTTATTTATTTATTTATTTATTAATATTATATATATTTATTTATATATTTATTTATTTATTTATTTATTCATGTTGTTATATTTTTAACTACTCATTAAGTTTTTTTTATTATATTTTTATTTTTATACCATTTTTTTTTTTATAATTTTTTTTTATTTTTAATATTATTTATATTATTTTTTTAATATTTTTTTTTACATATTTTATTTATTTATATATATATATATATATATATATATATATATATATATATATGTATATTTTTTTAAATTTTTTATAATTAATTAATAGTATTTTTTATAAAAAAAAAAAATTAAATTTTACAATTCATTTGTTATTAATATATTAAAAAATATATTATTTTTTTAATTATACATTTTTTATTATAAATAATTAAATACATATACCTCATATTTTTTTTATTATTTTTTACACCTTATTTATTTTTATTTTTTAATTTTTATCTATTTATTTATATAAATTTTCAAATTTACTTTAATTTTTTAAATTAAAATATTTTATAAAGCTTTCTAACAAAATCTTTTTGAAAAATAAATATAAATTAAATAACAATTATAATTAATAAATACATCAGTTTCTAAATTTAGTTATGAGTCTATATTAATTAAATTAAAATCATATAAAATATTTTATAGATACTATTTATTTATTTAATAATAATATTTATCTTAGTTAATTTCAAAACATTATATTTAAATTAATATATCGAAGAATTAAAATGGTTAATTATTTTATTCAAAAAAATCTATTATAAATTTACAAATATAATTTTTTATTTTATTTTATTCTATAAATAGATACTGTTTATTTTTATAAATAATATTTATAATTTATTCTTTTTAATTATCTTCAATTTTTCCAATTTTATTAAAAAAATAAACTAAAACTATTATAAACCCTAAATTAATTTCTTCATAATTTTTTTAATATAAAAAGTTAAAAATAAGTTAAATTAGTAAGTTTTATTAAACTATTAACTTTTTTTTAAAAAAAGGTATTTATAAAATTTAATTATAATAGAATACATTTTAATGTAATAAAGCAAGAATTAGGCTAGGAAGATACAATGAAAAGTTTTTTTATTTTTAGTTTAATTTAACAAATAACTTTAATATCAAATCCTAAACATGCTAGTTAAGCACAAAAAAAGTGTTTTTTTATTAATAAATTATACATCTTAAACACAAAGTTAATTATTGTTAAAGTTCTTCATTTTCGTTATAGTATAGCAATTGCATAATAATTTAAATTGAATCATAAAAAATAATTTAATTATTTGATTTATTTTTAAATAAGATTTTTAATATTTAAGCTGCATTCTATTTTAAAAAAAGTCAATAAAAAATATTTATTTTATATAAATTTACTTGTATTTAATTTAGGTCTTATTAACTGATATTTTTATTAAAATTACTATTTAAAATGTTAGAAACTAAAAAAAAACATTATTAATATAATTTTCGAATTTTTAAAAAATTAAAAAATACTATTTTTAATTTTAAGAAAGTAAATCAACCAAAAGGTAAATTTATTCTTAAATTTCTATTAAATTTTAACTTTAAATATATATTTCTAAAAGAAGATTAATTCCTTAAATATCTACATATAAACAAAAATATTAGCTTTTTTAAAAAATAAAAACTAAGCTTTAAAGTAAAATAGCGAATAAATTTTATGTATATTAATAAGTTAATTGTTTGTCAAATCTAATAAATTATAATAAATCACAACTTTATTTTTCGTAAAAATAAACTTAATTGTTTGCTTTAAATATTTTTCCTAAAGAAATGATTGCATATATTTTTGTTGGAAATGAGAATTTAGTTGTATTTTGGAGAATTTGGAAAATAAAAGTAATAATTAATTATTAGTCTAGTTCGAAAAAACACTAAAAGCAATCTAAAAATCTTAAAATAATAATTTCATTAAAAAAAAATAATTTTCAG